GGCTGGGAGAGGCGCGGGGGATGGGCCTGGCCTGGCTGATTCAGAGATTCGACCGAATCAAATCAGGACAGTGATTCAAATCACCAAATCGAATCACTGTCCTCCGAATCAGCCAAATCCAAAGCAAATATTAGCCGCTTCGCACAGGCTTACTTATGTGCCTGTACACTAATGCTAGGAGTTTGGGGAATAAACAGGAGGGACTGGTCCTTCTGCTAAACAAAAACGACTACAATCTCATAGGGATAATGGAGATCTGGTGGGACTCCTCCCATGACTGGACTACAGGTATAAATGGCTGTACCCGGTACAGGAGAGATCATGCTGAAAAAAGGGGTGGGGTGGTAGTTCTCTATGTGAAGGAGAGCTACACGTCCCTACAAGCTGAGATTAGCACCCAAGAAGGATGACTGAAGTCCAAAGTCCCTTTGGGTTAGAATCCGAGGGGAACGTGGTGAAGAGGATACAATGGTAGGAGTCTACTACAGACCTCCAAACCAGGAACAAGAGCTTGACCAAGAATTCACCAGGAAACCAGCCAAGGCTGCACGCTCTTGGTGTCTGGTCATCATGGGAGACTTCAGTTACCCGGACATCTCATGGGATGAGCACTCAGCCAAATCCAATCGGTCTAAAAGCTTCCTTACACGCGTGAATGAGCTCTACCTGTCCCAAGAAGTTTATGGTCCGACAAGAGGCAAGTTGCTGCTGGACCTGGTACTGGCCAAAGGGGATGAACTAATCAGTGATTTGAGAATTGAAGGGAAGCTGGGTGACAGTGACCATGAGTTGATAGCTCTCACTATCCATCACAGAGCCAGCAAGTCAGCCAGCAATGCAGTAGTCCTTCACTTTAGGAAATCTGTCTTTCATAAGCTCATGATTTCACAGGGAGGGAAGTTCATGATGAGTGGCTGCTCCTTAAGGAAGCAATCCTAGAAGCACAAGGGGAGTCCATCCCCACCCATAGGAAAGGTGGTAAAAGGGCTCAACAACTCTCTTGACTCAACAGGGAATGCATGGACCTCCTACGTCTAAAAAGAGAGGCATATAATGGATGGAGGACAGGAAACACCACTAAGGAGGGGTATTCTGCGCTGGTCCACACCTGCAGGGAGTGAACTAGAAAAGCCAAGGCTGCAACTGAACTCCAACTGGCTACACGAATCAAGGACAATAAAAATGTCCTTCGTCAGATATGTGGGGAATCAAAAGAAAAACAAGGGCATCATCGGACCCCTGCTAAACCAGCTGGGGCAGCTGACTACCGACACCCAGGAAAAAGCCAATCTGCTTAATGATTACTTTGCGTCGGTTTTTCACCAGCCCAATGGGCCCCCCCTGCCGTACATGATGCGGGATGACCAGGGTGAGGATGAATATATGCCCACCATTGGTGTGGATCTTGTGAGGGAGCATCTTGAGAGGCTGGACCTCCATAAATCAGCTGGTCCAGACAGGTTGCACCCAAGAGTCCTAAAGGAACTGGCAGACATCATAGCGCAGCCACTGGCAAGGATATTGAGAACTCATGGCGCTCGGGCAAATTACCTGAAGATTGGAAGAGGGCTAATATAGTGCCCACCTTCAAGAAAGGGAGGGAAAAAGACCCAGGAAACTACAGGCCAATCAGTTTGACCTCAATCCCTGGGAAGATTTTGAAAAAAATTAATAAAAGAAAACATTCTTGACAGGCTAACAGAAGGCAAAATCCTGAGGGACAGCCAGCACAGGTTTGTTGTGGGTAGGTCTTGCTTGACCATGAAAACAATAGTTTGTTTGATATGATGGAAACAAAGGAGGGACATAGTCAAAGCTACAAGACAGGGAAATGATCCTCACGGTAGCATTTTGAAATGATCTGTCAGTCAGAAAGGGGAGGTTGCAGTAAGTGAGACATAAGATGCTGTGGGCCTACATGAGAGTTTTGTGCATGCAGATGGTATGGAAAGGCCAGATCTGAGAAATGTTATGTGATAAAGAACCAGATAAGCAGCCTTTACATGCTTCTTCCTACAGAACTAGAACAATTGCAACCACTTCAGAAATGGCAGAAGCCAGCACTTCAGAACACTTCAAAAGTCAAAATTTTCTTAGCATTAGATACAGCATGGTGTAGCTGCTCTGGAGTGCGATCTCTTCTGGAGTATGTAGAGATAAAAAAACAAAACAAAGCAAAGTAAAGCAAATCTGGAATGCAAGCAAAATATTTCCTAATAATACTCAGATGTGCTGAACTCTACCCA